ACTTCGCGTACAACCAACGCCATATCCTCTGGGCGCCGTAACGGACATCAGTGACGTCGCTGGCATACCAAAGCACGCTATCCCACGGTCAGAAGACGTGGGATAGGAAGTCGATTGTGGTTGAGCTTGCTAAATCTGATCGAAATACAATTTGCGTCTCTGTTTCTTTCTGCGGACGGATGAACATGATATAACGATAACAGGAGGTCACCGTGAATAGGTTCGGTGCCGCTGTTTGACAAATCAGTTTAAAAAAAATACGATCAATTATTTTGCGTTTTTTTTTTTTTTTTTCATTATAATTATATGTAGTTTATTCAGGGTATTGTGGGGGGGTGGGGGCGGAATGGTTTCTGTGATCGCCGCATACATTTTTTTATCATTGTTGATGCTGTTTTTGTTTTTTTTTTTTTTTTACTTATTTTGTTTTCTTGGATTGCAATGGGCGCGTTCAGTAGCGGCCCCGGAGTCAAGGAGTCACTGACTCCTTCCACTGGACGGCCAAAAGTCACTTCCGGTGCACGTAACTCCGGGGCTTCGGAGTCAAGCTCCGAAGCACCGAGTCCGGAGACGGTGCACGTAGAGTCAAAGGAGCTAAAATGACGTAATTTCCTGACTGGTGACGATTTCCGGCGCTAAAAAAGGAAAAAAAAAAACAATATGGCGGAATAAGCTGCTTTGGTTCTGTCGCTGGTGCCCGGTTTGCTCGCTTTTGTTAATGAAAAGTGCTCAAGGTAAGACGAATAACGCGTTCGAATATCTTTTTCAGGTGAGGCTCTTTCGGAAAATGCATTGGGCCGTATTTTGTTTGGTTTGAATATGCTAATAAACAACGCAAACGTTCATTTGACGCCGTGTCTTGATCGCCGTTGCACGGAAACTCGGTGAATATCGACGATAGTCCTGTCCGCGCTCAACAGAGCAAAACAGGGTATGAACGCGACTTTGGAAGCCGGTTGGACACTCGCGCAGAGCATGATACCGTTTAATGTTTTGTTTGCGTAGCTAAATCGGAATGCACGTTGGCTGAGGCTCGCTTCGGCCGACAAAACCTTGATCGCCGAGCGCGGCCGAACTTCCCGTGTGTATACGAATACATTTTATAGGAAGTTCGTTACGAAGGGCAGAATAAACTTATAGCCGTATAAAGGTATCGCAACCGGCGGGGTAGATTTGCTGAGCTCTGTATTTTGCGTGTGCTGACCAGACGACGATTTTCGTCGGCTTTTACAACAGTAGCTGCCTTTGCACCGCCAAGCGAAGGGCTCGATCGCGTTGCATCGCTTCGAACAGCAGCGCTGTTGTGTACAATCACCCGCTTTTTTTTTCAACGACTTTGTAAAGACTTCTTCAACCGGCGTCAAATAAAAGCGATCGTGCTCGCCATCGTCTGCTTCCAGTTTATTCGGAGACCGTCTGGCACTGGGGAGGAAGCGGAAGTTGCGTAGAAGCAGGTTTGGAGCTGCGGGGTTTTTTTGCCGTTCAGTAGGCGCTCCGATGACTCCGACTCGAGGCACTCCGTTCGGAGGCAAGGGAGGCGCTACTGAACGCGCCCAATGGGGCCGAGCATGATAGCGCACATATTAGGGAGTACTTTAACCTTTTTTTTTTTTTTTTTTTTTGTAGTATGGTTTAACTATCTGGTGCATCAATTGTTACTTGAGCGCCACTAAAACCCAATCAATGTGTTTATAGGAATGTGATTGTGTTTTACCGATGTGCACTTGAGCGGCACTTCAGCGTGTTTGTTCACTTATAGGGACTACGCCCTCGCCTCCTGCACGCCTAGTCCCCACCGTACGCAGTGTTGACAAGTACTTTAAACTTAATGTACTACCACGTAGGTTCAGAAAACTTGTACTCTACTTAAAGTACATTTTCCGAGTGTGTACTTAAAATTTACGTATTTTGTTTCTGTTTCTTTTTTTTTCTTTTTTTTGTGTTTTTTGAGGAAACTACAACTCCCAACTTCGAAATATTATACCCAAAGTCGGCCTTTCAATGACAACGCGCTTGTGTCCTTGGTTTTCCCAATAAGGTCGAAACCAACCTCTAACAAATAAAATGGCGTACTTATGTGAAAACGCGCTATCGTTTTTCGAGACGTCATTCGGTCATTTTCCTGGGTGAAGTAATGGTGGCTAAAAGACCGATGCAAATAAGTGCCTTATAACTTGATTGTGTTCAATAGTTCTTCAGCGAGAGTAAAACTCTTTGGCAACTTTATCCAATATTGGATAACTTGCACTTGTGTTTTGTACTTATACTTGTATTTGTGCTTTGAAAGTACATCGTATTTCTAGTAGTACTGTACTTCTATAGTAGTACTGTACTTCAAGTTCATTGCAACGTTTTTTTGAAGTACATAACCTCTCATTTACTTTGTACAGTTTAGATGTACTTTACCCAACACTGACCATACTTGCGTGCGCGCTCGCTCTGGCTGCTATCCCTAACTCTGACCGTTTCGAACTGGTTGAGCATCGTACCAGCCTGCGGTCGTGCATCACTGTTGGACTGGCTGGCTATATCTCTTATCGTGTCTCTCGTCTACATCGTGTAACAGTTTCGCCAACCCTGGCAGGCCAACGTCACCCTGTTAGTAAAAACTAACTATATATTAAAAAAAGTTGATTTTTATTTTTTTATTCGACTTTTCCATTTAAAAGAGAGCAAAACAGGCGAACGACCAGTGAGGAAGGATGGAGCTTGGGATGTAAACAGGTTTGCGCTGAGCGAGGTTGTTTGATGTTCGAAATAACCGCTGGCTTGCTGTGGATGAATGGATGAGTCGAGTTTTAGCGGCTGGATATACACATCAACTAAAGCCAGTGTTGATACAGAGTTGGGTTGTAGGTAGCTCCACCTAGGAAGAAAGGTTTAGAACAATGTTTGCAACATAAATTTGACCATAATTTTTTGTACGATTTTTATTCAAATCAATGCCAACAAATACAACAAACCAGACATAAAAGTTGTATTAGATCGAACGGCGTTCAGTAAGTATCATTAATTAATTAACTCTACATCTTAAGATGTGAAACACGTTGTTAGGTTCGCGGAAACGAATATTTGGCATGTGCTACACGTCATGCCGGATCCACCACATAAAAAAGAAAGATGTTATGCCGGCTGCACGAACTCACGGCGGCTGCTAGCAGACGAAGCATTTCAGTAGTAGGAATTGTTTTCTTCGTTTGATCCAAATCTAAGTTTGCCGAATACTCAGTTTGCTTTCTTGTTTGTACGAACTATAAGATGTTCGATTTACTCCCACCACCATGCAGAAACCGGCGATGTAAATTTCCACGGTTGAGTTTCCCTTCGCTCATATCTCGAGTTCTCGTAGATAAATTTGCCGCTGGCATTTTGCATAAATACGTAGGTACACCCTAAAGTGTTGTAGGTTTCACACGTAAATCCTACATCCACACAGTGGGAAAGTAATGAAATATAGAAAAACTAGATAAATGCAAAAGCGATGCAAATCAAATAAATTAACGCAAAACACACACACCACACACACACACACACTGGCATGTGCATGCGTTGCGTTGTCTCGTGGCAAGGAGGAAAACCGGCTGAGAGGCTGAGAAGCGGGAACACTTGCAAACGATTAACGCGGCCCGTAAACCACGTGACCCCAAAAGGGCTGTCGTAAACACTCTCAAATCTAGGCAGACTGAGCAGAGACTGTCCAACTGCTCGATTGGGGTCACGTGGTTTATGTGCCTTTCCGTCTGCTTTCCTCCTTGCGCGACAACGCAGCGCATGTGCACTTGCGTCCAATCGGCGCAGCATGGTTTGGGATGGGCACACTCTACAATCTAAGCTCTCTAAGCGGCACGCCCATCAGCTGCTGCCACCTAGCGTCCCACAGGCGAAACCTTCCCTCCCTCTGCTAATTCCGTCGTTTCCTCCTAGCAACAAACGATAGTAAACAATGAGCGGATATGCGTTCTATCTTGTTTGTCTCTTTGTTTGAAAGCGTACTCGTTCGTGTTTTTTTTTTCTTTTTTTTTTTTTTTTGCAACCGGTTTGTACTGCTTGTACGTCACAGACGTCAACTTCATACACACACACACACAAAACAAAGCTCGCCACTTGTTTGGTTTTTAAACAAGAACATCAGAAACAGTCACGGCGAGAAATTCAAAAGAAAAATAACATAGAAGAACCTCGTATTTTATGGTTATTTATACATGGCGTGCCTCTCCTGGCCATTTTAGATACAATGTATCTTTTGGATGAGCGCAGAAAGAATCGAAAGAAGACGCTGGAGATTACCGCTACCGTATGACGACGTGCGTTCCGTAACCTAGCGACTAAAATAAAGAACGAAATAAGATGAACCGATAAAACCACGTACACGTTTTTCTTTCCCCGTCTCTCTCTTTCGTATAACCTTAACCCTAGGCTCGTGTTTATTTTTCTTGTATGTGCGAGGAAAGCGTACTCGCTTCAATCCCTCTACTTTTTTTTCTTTCTTTTTTCCCCGGGGAGAGAGAATCGCAGGAAGAGAAGAAAGAAAAAAAAAAGATATGTAAACATGACACAGAGACCCGGTTCGCGCCAGCTCGAATATCGATCCCGACTAGAGCCAGCCGAACAGCATTTCACAATCTTCGGACTTTAACGTCACACTAAGAACAGCATTAAAGTGTTCCGGGACGGGTTATAAGGAAGGAATACGCAATGTTTGCGATGCGTTAAAGGCATCTTAAGCCCATGGCGTCGCAAAAACAAAAGCAGACAACCGCGTCGTCTGCGCACCCGTGTAGATATCGTCTGCGACACGCGTTCAAATGTTCCGAACACTTCATTCGACACTAGGGACGAGGTGGCTGACACGCGGGGGACTCTCACTACCCGATTCACCCTGTAAGCAAGCTTGTATCTTTGACGTCACAAGAAGTTTCTCGTACTTTGAGAGTGACTCTTGTCGTCATAAATTTGTAAATGCGTACGAAACGAGCGCTGCTGTTCATCCGCTGGTCGCCGGGAAAAAATGGTCACGTGATCGCGCCGCGCATGCCGGGAAGCCTGGTAGGTACGGTCGCCATTTTGGACCGTAATGTCGGCGCATCAGAGGGCTTCGGACAACGATGCTTGGGCTCTTTTAGCCCTCAAATCGGCTCCGTCGAGCCCGTCCAAGCTGCAATGGAACCCGGAACCCAAAGGGGTCGCGATTGCGCGGCTCGAGGGCCGCGAGTTCGAGTACATGATCCGGCAGAACCGCATTTCCATCGGACGCAACAGCAGCCGCGGCGAAGTCGATGTAAATATGGGCCACTCCAGTTTCATTTCACGCAAGCATCTCGAGATCTTCTACGAATACTCGCACTTCTTCATGGTGTGCAACGGCAAGAACGGAGTCTTCGTCGACGGTGTGTTCCAGCGGAAAGGAGCGGCACCGCTGCCCCTGCCCAAAACGTGAGTAGAGACGATCGCGAGGAGCGCTGGCTCGTCCGCCGCAGTGTCCCGCACGCAACCATGTGTATGTAGCTTAGGCCTGACCGACACATGGTCGAACCACACACACTACTTACCCCAGGGGCGGGCTTGTTGCTATGCGTGTCGGGCGGCTAACTCGGACAGAGTTCGAGCCACGCGAACCCCGTGAAATCCAAGCGGTTTACACGGGCGACGAGTCAAAGCGGACTCGGTGCGTAGAAAAAGAAGAAACAAAAAAACGACACCCTTCCCGGAACAAGTCTCGATTTGTTTATCACTGTGTTGTTTACTCGGTGGCTTGTGCGTGCGTTCGCCTGTTTGTGCTTATGGCTGACTGACATTGAAAACAAGTTTAGCGGCTCGCCCTACCCAAACACGCGGACACGCACGTTCTGATGTGTGGGGCTTGCTAAACTTCTGGGGTGTTGGGTTTTTTTGGTCGCGGAAACAATGTATCGTCGCGAACTGGGCGGTCGCGCCGGGTTCGCAAAAACAAAAAGGTGGGCGTTCATTCATTTTCATTCATTTTAGGAAGCCGCTCGCTCGTTCGTTGTCTCATGCAATACACACTTCCGTCCGAACAGGACTTTTTCGGGCTTAGACCGCATGTGTGTGTGTGTTTCATACATATTCCTGCATTACTTAATATTTGTGTGTGTGTCGCGGTGGATGGTTTGGGAAGTGTGGTGTGTAAGGAGCGTAATCGGAAACTCCAGAAACAAGCTTTAGTGGTGGGCAGCAAAATCTGTTGAAGGTTTTTCTTTTTGTTCTTTTTAATTGTTTTTTTTTTATTATTATTTTCTGTTTAGAACTGCGGCGTTGTTTGTGTTTACAGCGTCTTCGGTCTAACCTCCTCGCGACACAACCGTTCCCCTCTTCCTCTTCTTTCCTGATTGTAGCGAAACGAGAACGATTGGTAGGAAACAAAAATATAGAGGAAGCGGCATTTGTTTACATTGCTGCTTCCTAGCTCGCACTGACTGGCTCGGGGTGGCTTGGATTGTCTTGGCTCGGTGTGAGTGGTTCGCTTGGGCGTGTTTGCGACGCTTGTCTGGTAGGTTTCTTTCTTGTTTTTAGGTCATATTGACACGCTGCGGTTTCATGATGGCATCCATAACTTTCGTAGCGTTTCTCGACTGCGCGGCTGTTTGACGCAATCGTGACGTAGCATAACGCTGGGTGTGCGGTGCTTGTCGCCGGAAAAAAAAAAAACTGTTTTTTTTTTTTTTTTTTTTTTTTTGAAGGTCAGGAGCGCAATTTGCTGATGCAGCTCGTCTCTCGCTCGCTTTCGCTCATCAAAATATATTGTTAGCGTTGTGTATTTTTTTTTTTTTTTTTTAAGTTTTTGACAGCACGGTTTTTTTTTTCTGCGCGCGTGAAATAGGCTATTGTCTTTTGCCGTTCGCGCTTGGTTGCTCCCCTTTTTCGTTGAGAGGAGGAAACACTGAGAGAATGCCGGTTTGTTGTTTTAGCAAACGGTAGTAGTAAGGTGTCTGACGGGTCTGCTCAGCCATTGGGAAGGGAGAGCTTGTATTTCTTTTAATAGATTTTCATGCTCTTTTTCATTTTTTTTTTCTCTGTTGCCGCTGGCTTGCTCATTCCGTACGTCGTTGTCTGTTGCGTAACTATGCGTACCCTAGGCCTTGCAGGAAGAGGTACTACGTACCAGCGTACCACAGCGCCGTGTGCGTTGGATCAGTCAAGTGTGGGTGGCGGCAGCTCTTTTTTGTGTGTGTGTGCTTGCGCTAAGCGAGAGGTTATGTTTATCAATGTTTGTTTTGTTTCTGTACCTCCGTATCGTCTGCTGCGGCTCGTGTCTACCGGCCCCGCAAAAAGTAGCAGACTGCGTTTTATTTTATCGTCTGCTTTGCCTCGTTCTCATCGTCTGCTGTCTGTTCTAGAGGGTTCGAGGGATGGTACTCAATGAAGCAGCGCTATTTTGTTTTGATTTTAATTATTTTCAAGAATCCTATCGTGCTGAATATTGTGGTAGTGCTCGTTTTAGACATTGTTTTGTTATTCGTTTAGTTTTCTGTAATCCGGGAAACAGCTGTGCCGGTAACGAATGTGTTCAGCCACAGCAGCTATTTGTGTGTGTGTGTGTGTTGTTTTCTTTCAGCGAAAAAGAAAATGTTTTGTCCTTGTTAGGGTCGGTTCCACTTGTGCGAAGCTCCTAAACTGTACGAGCTTGGCTGGGAGGCCCAAGTAAGAATTAAAATAAAAACAAATGTGTGCGGATTTTGTAAAAATTGGGAAGAAGCCACGACAAAAACGTAGCCCAGCATGAGTTCTAAGTGGCTGCTTATTTGCGGGCAAATTGTTTCACAACAATGTCCCAGAATCCTGCTAAAAAAAAAAAAAAAATTTTTTTTTTTGTGCATTTTGTTTGGGTTGCACTTGTTGGCTTTCCCAAACTACAGGGTGTCTCAAATAGCGGCCAGGCTCTTTATATCAACCGAAAAAATCAGTTTCTTAACCTATCGTGCTATGATTTTGTGCAGCGTTGCCCATAGGTGGTGAATTTTCACTATAAAATTTGCAAAGAGCAAACTTGAGAAAAAAGTAAAAAAAGAAAAAAGTCTTAACTTCTATGGAAACGCAGCAAAGCCACCGGTCTTCAGACGATAGGGCGCCGTTTGGCACGGGAGACAAGAGATGGCGCAAGTGGCCCTGACACCAAATGCCACCAACGAACGAGCATACGGCGCAGCAGACTATCTTTTCAACTGAAAAGCGGGGCGCATTCCCCAGGCGGCCAAAGCAGCATTAGCAGAACCAAAGACAGGTGCCGTAAGAACAAGGAACTGCAAAGCAGACGACATAGGTACCCCGAAAAAAAAACCAGTGAAAATAACTCGACAAACGATTTTTTAATTGATTGTGTCCATTCAATGTGTTTTATTAGTAAGCATGATAAACTCATGCATTGGCTACTGACAGAGAAAAAGCTTGTGCTGCTGTGAAAAGAGTGACGGATGATTATTTGCCTGCATCACGGTGCTGAGTGTAAACAATATTGGTCAGAAAAGCAAGTGTTGTGCTTGCGGCTCAATGTTTCTATAAAAGGTAGACTAAAGGGGTTTGTCCTAAAATGTTCCTGAGATTTTGAAAATATTTTTTGCTTTTAGCTCATTTGTGTGGCCATCATATATATTGTGAAGTGTCTTGTAAACTATAGATTTCATGATATATATGGTGCACCCATTTCATGGTTTGATGCACTGTAATTAATTTTTAAGTGCAAAAGCACAGCAGGATTCAACTTTTAATACTGCGACACAAAGTTGTACGAATCACGCATATTTTATGTGACCCATCTGGGCCCGTTTGCTCGAAGCCGGTTAACTTTAACCGCGATTAAAAGTTAACCGCCCTTCCCTACTAGGTACCTACAAGTACCTAGCCAAGTTTGACGAGGGCTGGATGAGCGATAGCTCCGTGTTTTATTATGGGGTGGCAGCTGGTGTCACCTACTGGCTGTTGTGAATATACGTGACTTCCGTGGAAAAATTCCCGAAATGGGGAGACCCAAAAAATGCGCGCTGCCTGGTTTTCGCGACGCAGGGCGGCATACATTGAGGCTTAAGAAACAATTTTTATTGCTCGTGGTACAAATAATCGGCAAGGTAAAACTAAATTAACCCTTGTTTGGAAATTGTCTAAATATTTGGCTGTATGAAGTGAAGACAAGCCTGGTTGAAATTTCCTTCCGAGTTCGAAAGGGGACGACAAAGTTGAGTCCTAGAAACGATGAGAAAGAAGTGAGCAGTGAAAGGCGGGCGGTACACCGGCAGCATGGTTGGCCAGCATGTAAGAACTGTATATAACACCGTCATAAATTGAAAAACCTGTAATCCGGCTCCAGTGAAAATCAACCTATTAGTAAATTACCCGAACATCGAGAAGAACGCTGAAAGTGTAATTCCACGATCCACGCGCGTTGGCCTTCCACTTATAAGATTTGAAGTAAATAATAATAAATCTTTGACGGACGCGCGTGCACGGCAAAATTTGTTTTAGGCTTTTTGCTTCAGAACAGTTATTACTGCAGACGCCGGCAGGTGCAGCGCGTGTAACTACACTCGTAGCATGCACCTCGGTGCTTTTGAAATTTAGCAAAAGATCTATGGGAACGCTCTCTGCTTTTGTTTGCCATCAATACCCGGCCGATTGAGTCAAGGCAATCCGCTTTCCAAAGACGTTGCCATGCCGACAACTATCGCGTTCATTTAGGCTTAGGAATGGCCAGAGTCAAAAGTCTATCTAAAAAATGCTTCGAGGTCATTGCTCGTGTTTTGCGTTTTAAGTGAGGTAAGGCAAAGCGAAAGCCTCCTGCACCATTTGTTGCTGACTAACGCGCCCGATATTGCAGCTACAACGACATATAAGTTCCAAAGCGAGCGGCGCTCACTCAACGGGGCACCGCCATGTTTCCCCGCCGTCCTTATTCTGCCGGTCCCAAAATTCCCCCTTGTAGGGAAATCCGGTTAACCGCGGTTAGTTAACCAGCTTCGAGCAAACGGGCCCTGATAACCTTTAGGTTCAGGTAAAATATATGGAACTGAAAGTAAAAAATATAGATATTAAGTCATATATATTAATCTAGCTTTTCATTTACTGTTTCATCAAAATTAAATAATGCAGGTTATTTTTGGTACCTGAAAATAAAAGTGGATTATACGAAAGATAAAACGCTACATAGTTACTCGTTTCACTCTTGAAATAGTGCCTATTGCCAAAGGAACACGGAAAATATATTTTCAGTTTAGCGGTTCGAACCATTATTTTTTGCTGCCCGGAACTGAACCGGAAGTCGTGAACCCAAACCGAACCAATAAAAATTTCGGTTCGACACTCTGGTCAGGTTACCATGCCAAAACTCAACCAGTCTTCTTTTTTGGTCTTTTTTATGACATATTACATGGCACATCGTAAGTTGTTTGTCTTTTTATTTTAATGGAACGTGCAAAATACTTGGC